CCAAAAAAATCGGAATAAAGTTAGCAAGATCGACCAGCATCCAGGCAGAACACGAGCTCTAATAGCCAGAGTTCGAACATAGAATAGAATATCAGCAGAATAAATAAAATGCGAAGATGTGTAGGCCGCGTTTACCGCTGAAGAAGGGCAGCAGGGTAGAGTTCAGCGCAGAATTTTGCAGATCATAGCAGATCCAATAGATCAGAATCATAGCAGTGAAGGGTAAAAAATGGAAGAATGAGAGGAAAGTTGCACTAATCGGCGTTTGAACATAGCTGCCATTGCTCCCGCAACGAATTGCCTGATTTTGAGCTAGACAGTTGTCGCGAAAAGTTGACAAATGTCGCGGACAACTCGCCCGGCGTTTTTTCGTGTTGTAGATTTAGCTGCGAGTTCGGATTTGAGCTAATGCACATTTATTTCCAATTTGAATCGTTCCGCATCTCTACCAATACGTTCACCGTTTACCTGTCCGAAACAATCACTTGGATCTATGTCGATTCTATTATTGAAAATTTAACTTCTTTGCATTCTGAAGTGTTGGGAAAGGACAGGAAAAAACATGTTGAAGCCGTTCGTTGTTGAATTCAAAGTCTTTTGCATTCTCTGACGAGGCTGGCAGTATTCAACTGACCATATTGACCATGACCCGACAGAAGGCGTATTGCGCTTTCTAGACGAACTTCACAGCGAAATGACGAACCTGGGAATTCACAATGATAATCATGGGTAGCGGCATTTCGATTAAGTCTGACGTTATTCTAAGCAATACTTCAAAGGCGATTCTATGGAAATAACATTTGTGATGATAATATTAAATGTAATAGGTTGATGCATAATTATTGCGGATATTTTTTATTCTTGCGGTTTCTTTCCTCTCGATTCAATTTGAATGTTGAACTCGGGATTTAATGGAATAATCTCCTTACTTCCCTCAAGAGAAATATGTTTAGAAAGTCATCTTCATATACCCCGTATTATGCCCCAGTACTTCGAGAGAGGTTGGAAAGTGGCATAAACATAAAGTGATCTTAACGAACTACTCGGTGATGGAACAGTCAGGCAAAGTCGAAAAGGAATGGAATCTTTTTCTACCCATTAAAATATACTCCCAAGGATTATCACACCGATCGTGCGTTGAAAAATTGGCTAACGAACAGAACTTTCGATGAAATGGAAGATTGATGGCCGACGTGAAGGCGCGGAACGCCTCCAAGAATCGAAACTTCTTCACCTGTGGAATCCGACTTCCTCGCAAATGAGAAGCAGTTTTTGACGTAGATGGTGGATGAGTTCCGGAGTAATTATTTGAACATGTCTTTTATAAATATTCCTATCGTTTCCTGACGTAAAACTTCCTGAAAAAAGCGCAATAATTATGCATCAACGTAATATTATTGTTGAAGGTGAAACTCGATACAAACCTGCACATAAAGAAACATGTTGTAATAACGTACACTTCTGAATCTATACAGCTTCCACATTCTATTGCGATACTTGTAAAAATATAAGAAAGGTCGTCTTTTGACTAGGTTGCTTGTTGGCGAACATTTGGATGTTGAAATAGTTTGCAGGATCTTTCGTATTGTGGTGATTTTTTTTTGTCAATTCGTTGATACTTGGTATTCAAAAATTATAGTGTCGCCCATTTTATGTTCAAACGACTTTTTTGGTGAAAATGTAGTGGGTGTGGTCGTTAGTTACGACTGAGATTACTTCGTGCCGAGGTGCGAACTGACCTCAATCGTAACTAACCTCATCTTACTTATGAGAGTGATGGCGAATGAAGAGAATGATGAGTAAATGAAACTTCAAAACAATTAGTTCTTCAACGTAAAATTTTCATGGTCTTTGGTTTAAAGAGTTATTGCCATGCAAGATGATAGAAATTTCATCAAAAAAACTTCAATAAAATGTAAAGAGGTCTAATTTTCCTAACAGGAAGTATCTAAAAATAATATATAAACAACTCAGATGGTCTTGTTCGTAACGAATTTGGACATCTCTATGCAAAACTTCTCAACTTGCATGCGGTTTACTCCTTTCCGATGAACTTCGTCGAAGCGGTTGGGTAGGTACAGAAGTACTATAGAGCGGAGGCTAAGGTTCTGAGCAAGGCTCCTTTTCTATAGTCATCACTTAACCACCAGGCTAAATTGTAGCTGATGAATAATCTCTTCAATGTGCTGAATTTAGCCTGAAGTATTGTAATTTTCCGTGAGAAACGTGAAATGGCCTGACTGATCAGCAGGCGGGCGCTCATTGGCTTTTCAAACACGAGATGAACCAATATCGAACAACTACATCGCTTCTGTAAATGTTGTTTGATATCATAGATGAGTGGAAATTCAGAAAAAAGATATTTTTCTACATCTTACACGGACTTTATTTTTATGACCATCGAATTTTTCTATTCTATATGGTAATAAAAACCCTTTATACCAAAAACCATGAAAATTTTACGTTGAAAAGCTAATTTTCTTGAAGTTTCATTTTCTCGTCAAGCCAACTAAATCTACAGGTCCCGTCCGTGGCAATTTGCCAAATTGCAAGCATTCGCTGCGGGACCTCTACTGGCATGATGCCACGGCCATAGCCGTGCCCGG